AATGAAAGGATAAAAGATAAATTCAAATAGTCTTATGTTCCATTTGAATAGAATTTGGTAAAAATTGAGTAAAATTAAGTGAAATTAAGTGAATTATATTTAATTGAGTGCAAAATTTGTAAATTGTTGAGTATATTTGGTTGAAAATAGAGAAAATTAAATTTAATAGAGTCAAATATAATTAATTTTACACCTAAATGTAATGGTGTAGATCAAATTTGAAAATGATAACAGTAAAGGCTGCCGCTAAAGAGTCTTTTCAAAATGCTAACACTAACATTTAAATTTATTGACTAATATTGAGTGAATTGGTTTGAAACTAATCAAATTAACTCTCAAATCAATAAACTTTATTGTAATGAGATGAAATTAGGATAAAATCTAATTATTCCATACAATTCATCATATATATATATATATATATATATATATATATATATATATTTCGTCCCAAAAAGAATATCACACTTCACTATTTAAAAATTACAGAAATTTTATTTGTTTGTGCGTTATCATTTATATGTACTCCCTCCGTCCTATAATGATCTTCCCGGTTCATTTTACGAAGTTTGACCGACTTTATTTTCAATTCAATTTATTTGATTGTAGGTGTAAAAATAAAAAATAAAAATTATATATTTAAAATTACATCAAAAGTTCTACAAAACAAGTGGTGACAAGACTATATTATTTTATCAAATACTTAATGAAAATAGGTAAAGAAAGTGATTAAAGTTTGACCGTGTAAAAAGTGTGTGGGAAGAACATTATAGGACGGAGGGAGTATAACTTATCTTTAATTTCTACATATAATAAATTTAAGGCATAAAAATTTGTACTTTTTTTCAAGAAGATAATCCATTTTATGAGGGAATGAGCAAGTAATGTAACTAGTTCAAATGGTAAAATAAATGTAAAAATTTAAAAATATAATATGCTTATTGAAAGGTAAACATAGCTCTGAATTTATCGATTTTAGTTCTAATCGAGTTCGGATATTATCGGTTTCAGATCTAATCAGTTTCGGATTTTATCGGTTTCGGGTATTATCGGGTCCGGATCTAATCGGTTTCGGGTTTAATCGGTTCGGATATTATCGGTTTCGAATCTAATCAATTTCGGATTTAAATCGGATATGAATTATTTAGTTCAGTTTCGGTTCGGTTCGGATCATTTCGGATTTTCGGTTATAGATCGGATCTTCATTTTTCAGATCATTCCGGTTTCGGTTTCAGATATTTCGGTTCGGGTAATCGGTTCCGGTTCTGTTTTGCCAGGTCTACACGCGAGTAAGGTTTGCTTCTCATCCGATCTGGCAGGGCGTGACATAGGGACGGATTGCCGCTGCTGATGCTCTTACAAAATTTCCTCCTAATGTTGCACTCCCCTTTCTTTCTTATATAGGGTGACCAAGAGCTTTGCTCCAAGTTAGGCATCAAATCTGATTTGGTCTGATGTGAGTGAATTCGATGTGATTGGATTTGATTTTACTATGGTTTTATTTTAAAAAAATTCCGATCTGATTGGATATTATATGGAACGATTTTAAAGTTAAAAGTGATTTTCAGAATGCTAAGAGAGGGGGACATGAATATGAAAGTTTTAAAAAAGAGTTGACTTAAAAATAAGTAAGTGACTTACTTATTTTTTATAGTGTAACTTTTTTAGCAATTTATAATCGGTTATAAGCACTGTGAAATACATCAACAAATGACTTAAATATAAAAAAAATTTGATAGATATATTGACTCTAAGTTGAAAGTTGCATTTCCTAATTGTTACTCTATTTTTAAACGAAGCACATATACTCTCTAGTAATATATAAATAGAGGAGTGATTTTGTTTTCTACCATCAATCCGTCATACCCATACCCAAATCCACACCAAGAAAAGAATACTGTATTTCTAAATGGTAGTCGTTCCTCGCAAGCCTAGAATGCCCCGACCGAGGCAGGCCTCGGCCCTGCCTCCTCTGCAGGCCACGGCCCCGCCTCCTCAATCTCCTCGCGTGCCTCCTCGTCAGGATCGAGTTCCTCCACCGCATCCACTGCCTCAGCAGCTCGTGCAAGTTGTGATTCTCTTTTACCATGGCTGTAAATCTATTTGAAAACTATTGCAAGATAAGTGTAATGAAATCATTATTAATTGGTTAATTAGTGTGTGTTATGCTTTGTTACAGGTTGACATGCAGAGTTCTCCCTCGGCGCCTCCTCCGCAGGCCACGGCCCCCGCCTCCTCAATCTCCCTCGGCGAGGCCGAAGCCTGCGGAGGCGGAGCCAAGGCCTGCCTCGGTCGTTCTAGGCTTGCGAGGAACGACTACCATTTAAAAATACAGTATTCTTTTCTTAGTGTGGGTCTGGGTATAGGTATGATGGTAGAAAGCAAAATCACTCCTCTATTTATATATTACTAGAGAGTATATGTGCTTCGTTTAAAAATAGAGTAACAATTAGGAAGTGCAACTTTCAACTTAGAGTCAATATATCTATCAATTTTTTTTATATTTAAGTCATTTGTTGATGTATTTCACAGTGCTTATAACCGATTATAAATTGCTAAAAAAGTTACACTATAAGAAAATAAGTAGGTCACTCACTTATTTTTAAGTCAACTCTTTTTTAAAACTTTCATATTCATTTTAGGGCGAGTCATCTTTTGGGTGCTTTTGCCGGCGTTCGGCACCCCGACGAGGCCAACATCGGCAATGCTCTTCAGCTCCAGCACGAGAACAACCTCGGACCCCGTGGACCCCATGGACCCCGTGCTGCTACTCGCTGTTTTTCCGGTTGACAAATTACCGAAACCGCCCTCCCCTCCCTCGGCAACAATGATCTGTTGCCCTGGCACCGTTAACTCCACTACGTTGGGGTAAGGGGGTAAAGATTGTGATGGAATAGGGACACTAAGTGTGCCAAGAATGTCCCAGGGAGCTAAGGTTGTTGAAGAGGTTTTTTGAACTGCAGAAGGAAGATCTCCCTCCACAACATGAATTACAGTGCCAACTGGTACTTGGACAACCTAAGGAAACAAAACTTCATGGTGATATTGTCAAGAGGCCAGTTCCCATGGCATTGGGAACCAATGTCGGGATGACCCGGGGGTGCTCTAGTGCCCCGTTCGTAAAAATTTGACTCCAAAGTCAAAATCAACTTGTGGGGTGCAATTGGAGGGGGTGGGGGTGTGTTTGGGTCGGGGTGGGGGGTTTACCGGGGGTTAGGAGGGGTAGGAACCATCAATACTATGAACGGGGCACCGGAGCACCCCCGGGTCATCCCATGACATTGGTTCTCAATGTCATGGGAACCAAGGTGTATTGTCAATTAGTACTTGAAAGCAATTAAAGAGAGAAAAACAGATATAGCACAACCTTGTATGTGCCTCTGCTTCCTATCATGTTTTTTGAAGCTCCATATCCCCCTCTCTTAGCATTCTGAAAATCACTGAAAAATTGTTATGAATATGTATCAACCCAAGCAGAGTATTGACTATTACTCCATCTTTTTTGTTTAATACCCAAAAGATGACTCAGCAGCATTCTGAAAATAAGTAGGTCACTTATCTTTTTTAAAAATTGTTATGAATATGTATCAACCCAAGCAAAGTATTGACTATTACTCCATCTTTTTTGTTTAATACCCATGTCCCCAAAACTTTCATATTCATTTTAGATACTATTCCATCTGTCCTCATTTAAGTTTTTTGTTTAATACCCAAAAAGTCAAACTTGAACCACGTTATTTACCTATTTTTGCTACCCATAAGAGAAAATAATTTAACTTTGTCACATCTTGTTTTGTACTCCGCAAAACTTTTGATGTAGTTTTTAAATATAAAAATCTAATCTTTTTAATCCCATACTAACTTTCATAGAAATTGAATTGAAAATAATTTCAATCAAACCTCATAAACAACAAGAGACAATTTAAATTAGGACATAGGAAGTAATGTCTTATCTGATGGAAGTATTTTCCTGGAAATGAATTTGATCCGAAAGCGTAATTTGTTGAGTCTCTGGCCCCTCCACGTGTTGTAACATTCCGGTCTGCCCCAACGGGGATGAAAACCACCAGTTCCGGAATCGCCACCCCCCCCCACACCAAATCTCATGTATGTCCATCCCACTGCAAGGCAGGCACATGTGCTACCTTTTTCATTAATAGATGTTCATATGGGACTAGAGGCTATATGTAAAAAAAAGCCACTCAAATGTAGTTATTCTCTCTCTCTCTCTCTCCTCCTTTTTCTCTGTTCTCCACTGTCAATGATCATTCAAGGAAAGGATTGAAGTTTGATGTTTTCTTGTGCAGTCGGATATCTTCTTCCTCTGCTTTTATTCATCTCTCTGGTAATTTGCTTCATGTTGCAGATAAAAGCAAGTTTTACTGTGCGCGATTGATCCCATTCATCAATGGCTGCCAACACTCGTTTCTTCCTTTCAATAACCCTGAGCTTTATGCTACTGGGGGAGCTGGTTCTTCCTGTGTGTTTGGCAGCCGATTACGAGCCAACGGATAAGATTCTGTTGAATTGTGGAGGCCCGGAAGGCGCGACGGATCCCGATGGTCGGAAATGGAGCACCGACATCCGGTCTAAGTTCCTGCCCTCCACCTCCGGCAACTCATCCTCCACCTCTTCCGCCCACGCCCAAAAACCGTCCGTCCCCCAAACCCCTTACATGTCCGCCCGTACCTTCCAATCGGACTTCACCTACACTTTCCCCCTCACTGCACCCGGAAGGAAATTCCTCCGCCTCCATTTCTACCCCGCTACCTATAACAATGTGGATACCACAAGCTCAATCTTCTCCGTAAGTGTTGGACGACAATACACTCTTCTCCATAACTTCAGTGCTCTCGGCGACGACTACCTGCTAAAGGAGTTCTCCATTCACGTCCCGTCCCGGACTGTGAATCTCACCTTCTCCCCATCCCGAGGCTCGTCCGCGTTTGTCAATGGCATCGAGGTAATTTCACATCCGGACATTTACAACACCGCCGGAGGGACTACCGCGGTGGTCGGACAACAACTCGGCACGTTTGTGGTTGACAATTCTACCGCACTCGAGAATGTTTACCGCGTGAACGTTGGCGGCAATGTGGTGTCCCCGTCGAGGGACACCGGGATGTTTAGGTGGTGGGACGAAGACACGAAGTACATATTTGGGGCGGCGCGTGGGGTCACGGAGGACGCGGGTGATTATAATGTGACGATCACTTACCCGCGAGGAATGCCGAGTTACGTTGCTCCCGTGGATGTGTATCGGTCGCTCAGAGCAATGGGTCCGGCTCCGGCCGTGAATAAGAACTACAATTTGACATGGTATTTCTTGGTTGATTCAGGGTTCTTCTACCTTGTCAGACTCCACTTCTGTGAGCTCACTGACATCATTACCAAGACCAGCCAGAGGGTTTTCACAATCTACATCAACAACCAAACTGCTGAGCTTGAAGCTGACGTCATTGCTTGGGCGGGCCGGAATGGGGTCCCGACCTATAGGGATTACGTGGTTTCAATCCCTCGCGGGGATCCACAAGTTGATCTTTGGCTTGAATTGCATCCCAGACTTGGATTCAATTATGTAGACGCAATCTTGAATGGATTGGAGATATTCAAAATAAATGATACCAAAGGAAATCTTGCGGGTCTGAATCGAATCCCTAACCTGAAACCACACGATTCTTTGGAACCATTCGTTCCAAAGAGTAATCGCAGAGCAGCTATTGGCGGTGGAATTGCTGCTTTCCTACTCGTTATTGCCTTTGTCATTTATTTCTTCTCTTGCAGAAGGGATGCACAATCTGCTGCTTTGGCCAAGACAAACACGACTGGAAGTTATGCATCCCCACCTCCGTCAACCCTCTGCCGGCACTTCTCGTTTGCCGAGATCAAGGTGGCCACTAAAAACTTCGACGAATCTCTTCTCCTTGGAGTTGGGGGTTTTGGCAAAGTTTATAGAGGAGAAATTGATGGGGGCACAAAAGTTGCTATTAAGCGCGGTAACCCGCTCTCCGAACAGGGCATCCATGAATTCCAGACAGAAATCGAAATGCTTTCTAAACTTCGTCATCTCCACCTCGTGTCTTTGATCGGTTACTGTGAGGAGAACTGCGAGATGATCCTTGTCTATGATTACATGGCATTCGGGACCCTTCGTGAGCATCTCTATAAGAACCAAAAGCCACCACTACCGTGGAAGCAAAGGCTTGCGATCTGCATTGGCGCTGCCCGTGGCCTTCACTATCTCCACACCGGCGCCAAACACACCATTATCCACCGCGACGTGAAAACTACCAACATCCTCTTGGATGAGAAGTGGGTGGCGAAGGTTTCTGATTTCGGGTTGTCGAAAACGGGTCCCACTTCGGATCACACCCACGTGAGTACGGCCGTGAAAGGCAGTTTCGGTTATCTGGATCCAGAATACTTTAGACGACAGCAACTCACCGAAAAATCTGATGTGTACTCATTTGGGGTCGTCCTTTTTGAGATATTGTGTGCACGCCCGGCTTTGAACCCTGCCCTACCAAAGGAGCAGGTGAGCTTAGCGGAATGGGCCGTGCATTGCCACAAAAAGGGTATTCTTGACCAGATCACTGACCCTTATTTGAAGGGCAAGATAGAACCCAAGTGCTTCAAGAAATTTGGGGAGACGGCTGTGAAGTGCGTGTGCGATGTGGGGACAGAGAGGCCATCAATGGGAGATGTGCTTTGGAACCTTGAGTTTGCACTACAGCTTCAAGAGAACGCAGAGGAGAGCGGGAAGGGGTTCGGCGTGACGACTGATTCCAGAAGCAGTGGCATATCAGTGAGTATAGGCTGTCGGAGCGTTGCCAGTGAGGAATCAGAAGGTCTGACATCTGCTCACAGATTATGAACCCAAGGGGCCGTTGATGATACAAGTGATGAGTCCCTTGTCAACCAACTAGCCTAAATGGCACTTTGCACGAGTAGTGCTCAATATAGAAAAAATCTCTTCTGGCCAAACTGTAGCTTTGAAACGCTATTTGTGCAAGTGGTGCCCTATAATAATGTCAAAACGGAAGGTTATTGACAATGAGTAACAATGCAAAATTTTATTAGGCTTGATAATCCGTTTTTTAAAACGTTCAATTAGATCAATTACAATAATAATATCAAACCAGGACATTATAAAAAGGTTCTAAACATAAGAAACAATAAGAAGAATTAATAAGATCAACTGATAATAAGTTCGAGTTCTCAAGGTTTCGAAAGGCGAAAACTAGCCTCGAGGCAGTGGAGCAAAATGCCTTGAGGCGAAACGAGGCATAAGCCTCAATTCAATATGAAAAAACAATACTAAAATATGTAATCCAAGGTAAAACAAAGGCCCAATAGCTTTTAAAAAATAACCCTTATAATTGTTGAAATTTTTATTAAAATTGAGGCTTACGCCTCGGTTACGGCTTACTGCCTCGGACCGCCTCAACATTGGGAGGCGTACGTCTTAGGTATCCCTCCTCTCAGAGGCAAAATGCAACCGCCTTACCGCCTTGGTTGCCTTTTAAAAACATATGGGGGGCGAGTTCTAAACATGAGAAACAATTGAAATCAACTACTGTATTATTTTTTTTTATAATAATGATGTTAAACCAGGTCATTATAAAAAAAGCTTCTTCAAGATTCAATCTGAAGTGCAAAAACACAACCTGGACAAATTTCAATAGGTTGTGTTTGAATAATGTTTCCAAACACACTTGATATGAAGCATATGAATGTAAGAACAAATGAATAATGCAGCAACCTAGGAGTACTAATTAATGAGGGGTTTAATATCACTATGTTATTTAAAAATAATGATTTTATATCAAAATGTACTACTCATATTTTAGCACTAAAAGACATCACTGAAGTTAGAAGCAATTATCTTCTTTACCATTATAATACGGTAACAATGAATATAATGGAAGTTAGAAACTAAAATTTCTACATGTATGTGATTTAACTATCAAATTATCATTAAAAAAATTAAAATTCTCAAAATAACCTTTACCAAATTAAAATGATACTCCGTATAATGGTTAGAAAATAGTAGTTTCTTTACCAAATGTTTATTTGATTTAATTATCAAATCACCATTTTTTGACTTACTATTATACGTTTTATTTTTCAGTGTGCTGAATCCAAGAGCAAAATAAGTGTGTTTTATTTTAAGTTTCTAATATCAAATCAAACAAAAAAAAGAATAAAATGAATTTGAGGAACTTGAAAATATAAATAAAAAATAAACTTCTTAACCCAAAATAGGTACAGTTTTTAAAATCCTAAATTAAATGCATATTATAAAACACAAATTCAAAGCAAATCAAGCACAAATTATCCAAAATAATCCAAAACCCTAGCATGATAGACTGAAATATTAAGTTTTGAAAGGGAAAACTTAATCAAACCCACCTGCAAATAATCCAAAACCTAGCATGATAGATTACCATTAGTTATATAAACACGAATCACCTTTCTCAAGAGCAAAATAAAAAGCAATTTCAAAACACCAACTATAAAAAAATCTCTACAACTTCACATGGATTCAAACCTACATGCAATTAAAAGGTGAAGTGAGGTTTGAATCTTAAAAAAATGTCAATATCCTAAATCCACAACAGGTGATCAAAAATCTCACCCGTAAAAAATATAAAGCAGTTCTGGCAGTAAAAGACCTCGCCGCATCAATTTGGATGATATATAATGAATGGACTGCAAGCAGTAGCGCGAAGACAATCTAGACGATAACGATATAATGGAGGAGCTAGTAGAGGAAGGGTGTGTAGAAGACCGAGGTGGAAAAAAAAAGTGCTGTGTAAAGCACGCGCGAGATGCTAGGGTACACTTTTAAATGTCCCCCACTTCCTCCATAACCATTCATTTTTACGGAGTATTTGCTTTTTATTTACTTATTTTTTTTGAATTTTCTTTTCTATTTTTATGGACGAGGGGGTGGAGGACATTTTAAAGATGTAACCTTAGCATTTTCCATAGCACAAAAGCTTTCAGTTCTAGTCAAAGCACTAGAAACAGGTATGAAGCCCAGACTTCAAACTCGTGCTTCAAAATTTTAATTTGATAGAATAATGAATTTTCATAAACTAAAAATTTTAATTTGATTTGTCGTATTCATAGAATAAAAAAGTTTAATTTGATAGAATAATAGTTGCGGAAAAGTACTATGGTGTGTCACTTCATCCCTTTCAAAAAATAGTGTCAATTCAATTGTGTGTCAATTTTGGAACAATGTGTAAGATTATACCGACTCTCTCTTAAAATAATTTTATCAAATACGGAGTATTTTATAATTAGTCTTTTTTAACAAAAGATTTTCTATATTTATCGTTCTATTTTTTCAAATACTTTCTCTTATGGGTTACTTTTTCATCGATATTTCATTTTTTTAACTTTTTGGTCAAGTTGATGTTAAATTGAGGGTTATAGTATAATTGGGGAGGGTTCCCAGACATTGGAAATCCTTGTTATGGGATGACTCGGAGCTATTACGGTGGCTCATTTGTAAAATTGATGGTTCATACAATCATATATACCCGCCTAACCCCCCCCCCCCCCCCC